ATAACTACAACTTCATGAAATTGAAATAAATTATCTTGTGATCTATTAGGAAAATATATTTAATTAGTTGTATACTATGCGTATCTTTCTGTCACCCTCCCTCATAAAACAATCTCTCTCTCTATACGAAACGCCTCTCTCTCTCTCTCTATTGCTCTCATGGCCAAAAGCAAAGCACATGGTTAGGTAGTGCGTTTCCCATGTGCAAAAACCAAGCGTTTTGAGTTTTCTCTATCATCAAGAATGACATCAACTTCTCTCTATCTACCTTGTTCATGTTTAATGCTTGAATAAATGTTTTGGCTTTGTGCATTTAGTTTTTTATGTGTTCGGAGTGCCATGATGCTTGATTCTTTTTTACATATTTGAGTTTTATTGGGAATACCTTCATGCTGGATTCTTTTTACTTATCTTGCTTTTTTTATTAATGGTTAGTTTTTCAATGGTGGGGTTTATTAGTTACAACAGTCGGTATTAAATTAAAAATGTCACAAGAATCTATATTTTAGATTGATTTAGATGGCACAAGAAATAATGTGAATGTCGAATTGTGCCTTTAATGATTGTGAAATGAATGAAATGGACAATAAACACTTGGCATTAGACAGGTTTTCAATACCTACATATTTTTGGTAAATTAATGAAAAACCATAAGGCAACACCACCACTTTCATTTTTAAAAAAATATTAAAAATTAGATTTTTGAGAAAGTATAGTATTTTTTTGAAAATTGGTTAGGTCAAAACCAGCTGATTCTCTGATCCGGATCGTAGATCCACCGATCCGATACGGTTTTTGAGGTGGCCGATCTGGGTACCGATCTATTTTTTTAAACCTTGGTTTAATGATAATGATGCTCATAGGATTAGAGAATGCTAAGTACTAAATGGTTCCTAAAACGTCAAAATTGAAGTTGAAAAGTATACATATGGGTTATGTTAGGGAACATATACATGTGAGTATTGAACATATATTTCATGCGAGGCTGGACCGCATTTCTACATTTTGCGGTGCATAGGTATAAAGCATCCATCATAAAGATGAATGCAAATAGGTGGTCTAAGAGCAATTGTAACTAACAGTCCAAATGTTTTCTTAATATAATTATTATTTCTGGTTTTGAAAAATTATTATTATTTTTTATATTCATGATCTCTATGTTAAAGATTATATATACTTTAAAAGTTAAGATCAAGTTATATTTTAAAAAATATATTTATTGTCAAGCCAGAATTTCTGCAATACGCAGGTTGGCTACATGCAAACTGCATCTGTGAGTATTTACTTACTGTACTGAATATTTTTGGATATTTAATACCCTTATCTCATAATTTAGCAACTTTTTATTTAGGGGTACTTTAGATAAGTATTCAAGGACAATGAAAAAATTCAAAATAAAATTTTTTTTTTATTAATTATAGTAGAGAATGGCATCATTCACATGGGGTGTAACATCATCCATACAGAGCATTATTGCCGCTGAATTCTTGTAAAAATATCTATCATACTCCTCTAAATAATGAAAATTACCCTTGCTAAAAAACAATTTGTACTACAAAGCAAGGTTAATTAGTGTGCAAAAATATTGAGTACATTTAGTAAATGCTCATATATATATGTGTACCCTAACATAATTTCTATAAAAAGTTGTTTTCATTTTTAATTTAATTGTAGGTAATAAAAAAATAAAAAAAAAATGTACATTTTTCCATTTTTTTGAATTGTTTTGTATTTTTCAGGGTTTTTTGACCTATTAAAAAAAAACAATTTACTTGATCGAATCGTATTGGTTAACCAGCTCGGTTTCTAGTTAACTAGAACCAGCTCATGGCCGATTGACTGGCCCCGTTTGATCTTTTGGACATTGTAGCCTCTACTAGGTTCCTTACTATATAATCAATGTTACGCAATAAGGCAGGATTGAGGTGAATGATACGCTCTGACGAGTGGCCGCCTGATAGGGAAGCAATGAGTCAATGTGAAAGAGAGGTTGGAAGCATCCTAATCGACTAGAGGTTCTAGGGTTGATATGACCATGCTGTTTCTGTAGTTTAACCTCTAGTGCAAGTGTTGAGGTTAGGTGGCTTTGATGATAAACTAGTAATGGGTTTCATATGTGATGCCATGACACGTAAAAGGGAAACCATAATTCAAAGTAACTTATGGATTGATGAAATTTTACACAGCTCTTTAGATACTGTTATGAAGACAGTCTCCAAGCTATGAAATCAAAAGTAGACCCATAACTTCAAAATAAATTGGAGTTGTTACATAAATCTATTGATCAGTTACCTATCAATGAGTTAGACAACAAGGCAATTGGTAGTTTGGTATTTTACAGCCTCCTTGAGATTATCTTCCTAATTGAAATGGACGCAATAACTATCTTTCTCCAAGATTTGTAGGATATTGTGGTCTGCAAAGACATTTCTTGTTCCTGGTTGACGTATTCACTTTTTGCCAATTGGGCTGTTAGACGAAAGAAATTTATATGTTGGGACCAGGGATCAGTAATGTCCTTGGAGGCATGTGAATTGATGTAACACGGTATCGCTCCATGCGTTTTCATGTAACCGATGCAAACATAACTGGGCTTTCAAAACTATAACCTGGTGATCACCATTTCAATACTAAAGACATGAAACCTGTTAAACATAAATGATGAATTGCCTCAAACCAGAGACATGTTACTCATCACGTCGTGAATCAGAGTAGAGAAGTTTCCTGATGAGTGTTTCCTGTGCAGTAACATTCAAGAAATGATAGATCAGTGTCAGACACAATGGACATAAGCTCTACTCAATGGATCTATATCCTTGAGTGGTCGCTTTCAAGCAATTACTAATTGATGTGGTTTCAATTGATAGGAAAATAAGTTATTAGAAATGAAAGCACAATGTGATGGAAGGTAAACCATTTTACAAAGTTTCAGAAAGGTTTTAGGTATTTCATCTCATAAGGTTTACATATTGGCCCTTGTTTTTTGCGGGGTGGAGATTCAAACAATAGAACTCTCACCTGCAAACTAGTTTCACAACTCTCACCTGCAAACTAGTTTTCGCACTGCTAAGCCAAAATAAGCCTCGCTTTGTATCTTTATAGTTCCATCACTTTTATATTTCGTTTTATAGACCCACTTGTAGCCAACTAGTTTTTTCTGTTTAAGAAGAGTAATGACATCCCAAATATGATTTTTCTTTAAAGCAACAAGTTCACCTTTCATAGCAATCTTCCATATTGCATTTGAATTAGCTTCCTCGAAGCTAGTGGGTTATTTAGTTGATGAAATTTCAGTAAAAAGAACAAAATATTTAGGAGAGAACTTCTTTAAATCTATCTATTTTTCAATGGGATAACGAATATTGTGATTGCTTTCCTTGGCATGATATGTAGTGTGTTGGGTTGTGGTCTTTAAAGGCCTTAGGAGTGCTTACAAAATGAAAAGATATAGTGGAACATGAACTCAGTGGGAGCGTGGCCCCTCGTGAACCATACTAAGCAAACGAAGGTTTGCTGATACCGATCTGTGCTTAACGATCTAAGCCAGTCGGTTGGGAAAAACCCATGTTACCTGGGCATGAAGAACAAACCGATGAGGGTTTATGGGTTAGCCCTTGATGAGGTCGGAGAACATGCCCGGATGAGTGAGCCGAGGGACTGTGTGACCCTTGTGTGTGATGGTGGCTTATTGAGAGCCAAAACCTCACCCATGTACCATCACACGGCATGCATATCAATAGATCGTTCAAGAAAGCCAGAAATCCACCTTTTAGAATGAAGCATATGCATGTGCAAGAGATACCTCTATGCGCTATAGAGCTATGATCGCATATGGTCTTGGTGACCTTGATTTGTCTCTAGAGGATGACCTGTAATCCACAGACTTGGATTGCGACCCCTTGTCTCATCCCCCAGACTTTGGTGACGCACTAATAAGCCCCTGCTTGAATTGTGGGTCATGAGAAATACTGGGTCGGTTGGATAAGGCAAGTGTGGTATGTAGTCCACAATTGAAGGTGGAGTGCCCCATGATTGCAGATTAAATTCCTGAACCATATGCATCCATTTCCCATCAAGTTAATTTAATTATGTTTGTTTTATGATATAAATTATTTTAGAATTATTATTTGAATTTTTATAAGTCATTTGATATTTTATTTATAATTTTTTTTTGAACTTATAAAAATGAAGATATTGATTTTACAAAATTATAAAATTCAAATATTGTTTTAGAATTTTTTTGATAATTTAAAATTATATAAAATATCATGGAGGGGCCCATAGTACACGTGGGCCCACCATTTGTCAAGTGGGTGTGACCCACATGTGCCACACATGGGTGGCACACCCCACCCAGTGGATTCT